AAAATTTGATTGGCAAGACCGAGCTTGCGCGGAACCACGAAAAGCAAGCCATCAACCCTAAACCCTTAAACCTAAAACCCTAAACCCTAATCCCTAAACCCTAAACCCTAAAACCCTAAACCATAAACTCTCAGCCCTAAACTCCTAAGATGTGAACTGGGAGGATGGTTCTCTGCAGAACCTGGAGCTCCCAGAAGACAAGTGTCGAACAGTCAAAATCGAGGACAGACAGGGATTTTAGGGTTTTTAGGTGTTTTAGGGGTTTGGGGGTTTAGGGATTTAGGGTGCAGGGTTTGGGGTTTAGGGTTTGGGGTTTAGGTTTTTAGGGTTTAGGGTGTGGAGTTTAGGGTTTGGGGTGGGGGAGGGAGGACGGGGGAGGGGGTTTTGGGTTCAGTTTCGGGGTCTGGCGTGTAGTCTGGGGTTTACCCATTCAAAGGTCCATTTAGGCTGCAGCCTGGGTATAAGGTATTGTAAGTATAGGATTTAGGGTTTAGGGTTTAGGGTATGGTAAGTATAGTATAGGGTTTAGGAACATGAACAGGTGCGGGTGCTCAAGGTAATGTCGGCTTTAAATGGAGCGCATCTCTTTCTTTTGGGCGGAGGTCCCTATGATCCTGTCAATGATCCGACCATGGGTCTCTTGGCACGCCTTTTTTCGGAGATTCATGTCGTGGTCTATTGCTATTGAGGGTGCAGCGCACGGATAGCTAACACGACGTCGTGTCATGAGACACCTGCTGAGGTTGTATAACCTGATTATCCTACATTACCGAGTGCCCTGTCGCTGATTGTCGCTGTGTGTTCGGTTGCCGAAGCAAGGTCGCCCAAACCCAATAAGCCTTACACCCTAAAGCGTAAACCAAGCATGCTATGCCTTGCACATGCGAAATGATCGGCTGCTTGCACCAATCTGGCTCCCGTCTCGAGATGAGGGAAAAGCGCCCACCTTCAACTCTCAGCCTAGACTCAGGTCCTACTCGACCATCCCTGAAATCCTCAACCGCTCAATCCCCAGACCAAAGCCATAAACTAAGCCTTCATTAAGCTTAAGAAATCTCGAAGGCCTCAAGGCCTCAGAAGCGCGCAATAAAACAACATGCTGAACACTTGCAACACGATTGTCTGAGGTACCCAAAAGAACATAAGCATAAGCATGTTATAGGGATATCACTACCTTGTTGGGTTTCATTATAAGGGGGTTTATATGGGATATCCCTATCCTATTTTTTGCTTTGGGCCCTATTGTCAGCGGGATGCAACTGCATCTAGCCTGTCCCTTCAAAGCCGTTTTAGATGCGTGAAATGCTGTTGAAGCACGAGAAAACAACAGAGTAAAGCCTTTAGCCTACTGCAGAACTCTACAAATCTCTCATAAAGAACCTATACGGGCCCAAGTACCTTATTGTCATAGCCTCTTCCAGGTGCGCTTCACAAAGCTACGATCCTAAAGTAATGTAACTAATTGTCAGGTCCTCTGACCCCCAAGGGTGACATCAAACAACCTTAGTAACCGATTGCCTTTTGAACCCAAGCAATACCCTTGTGGTGCAGGATGGTGAATCGACACGGCAGGCAAGTTCCCCGACGTACTATAGGGGCCAGAAGAACTACACACACACACACAATCCTAAGGTTCGTATATGTAGTATACAAACCCCCAAACCCCTGGTGACCTAGTGAGAGCATTCAGGCCTCCATCCTAGGGCTACTACACTGGGCTTCTACACAGCGTGCTTTGTTCTTCAGGGTCGCTTTTGTTCGGGTTTACGGGTCACCCTTCTACGGTCTCAGTGTCGACACACGGAAACTGGTGCTTGGCAGCAGATCACAGAAGTAGACTCTCAGAAAATAGAACGCAATATCGAACCCTGGATAGTACTATAGCAGAAGCCAGAAACTTGCAACATTAATCTCCTCATGGCCTTAAGGTAAAGTATAAGGGATCCTAGCACCAATCCTCCTCAATCCCTGTTCCAACTTTCTGGGGTTCGCTGTAGTTGTTGAAGCCTTCAAGTGTCGCAGAGCAGATCTTTTTGGCACATGGCGCTAAAGCCATACACCCCAAGGCTCGGACCCTTCCCCTTGTACCTTAGATTCTAAAGTTCTGACCCTAAAGCCCACAGTCTGCGTCCCACAAACGCTGCGCCCTTGAAAAAGAGCATCGCGAATCCAGAGATTTCAGCAAGGTACCTCGTTCTAAAGTCATCCCGAAACCCCAAAACCACAAAGACCTGGGATGCCTGGGCATACTCAAAGCAACATCTGAGGTGGGCAATAATAGGTCTTAGTATAGGGGCCTCGATAATTGCCTATACTATTTTTTCCGGGGGTCCTTCCTATCATTTTAAAGGGCCCAAAAGCACCATTCTAATGATCAAGGCCTCTAAATAGGGGCAGGGTTTCGGGTTTAGGCAGGGTTTCTGGGTTTTCAGGCAGAGCATGATCTGATTCCAAGACCTGGAGCTCCCCAGCCCGAAACTGTGTTTTGTATTCTATACATTCTGTAGTATATACTACATATGCTATATCTTATGCATAATATATTATGTGTTATGTATCATGCATCATGTTCTACATAAGATAAGCAATGTATATATATATATATACATATATAATATTGTGAAGATAACATCTTATGATGTTATGTATTACATATTTGGTATCATAGATGATCTGCAAGGGCAAGAAGCCCAAAGCCACGAGACCGTCCTCGAAGGCTCGTCATCCGGATGCGTTTTTTTGTGGCGCCCGGAGAAGTTCGGGACGTTTGAGGTTTGGCGGTTTTCATGGGTTCCCGCGAAACTCAAAGTCCCAAGCCGATGTGAGGTATATTCAGTGGTCCGAACACGACATGTACTATACAATACGGGAGAGCGCGTGAAATGCGACAAAAGGCTTCCTTTCTCGAAGTTCCTAGGTAAAGTGGGCACTGAGAAGTCGGGGCAAGAGGAACTCACCTTTTTGACTTCAAATCCTGTTTCATCGACCCATCATGCCAAGTTGATGCTGACGGATGCACATGGCAAGGGGTACAGTTGCGATTACAGTTGCTGCTTCGAGAGTTACAGTGAGACCAAGATCCTGTTCATCATGTTCCAACTTTCGCAAAGCGCAACAAGTTGTGACCGTTCCAGTGGCCCTAAGCCCTGAACTGAATTCACCACCACAAACTCTGCGCCTGATCGCTTCTGCAGCTGTAGAGCCGCGGTTTAGGCCCAAGTTTGGGCCAAAACCATATGGCTCGAGAGCCACACATTTAACAGCCACGCATGTCCTGTGCTATTGCCAGCGGATCATGAATGAACGACGGATGTTCCGAGATGGTCGACCTATGTCAGGGTTGGTGCAAGGACTGCTGAGCGGTCAGTTCACTCCGCTGGATGTCGAACCCGTTACAACAGTACACTGGTGTGGCCAAAGGATAGCACTGAGTCATCGAAGGCTCGTTTGTTGCAGAGAATACCAGAAGACGACGAACTGCCCGGTATTTGCTTTGGCACACATGTTTACTAGATGCCGGATGCTTCGGCAGACATCTTGCAACACGACATTGGCCAGGACGTCTTGCGCAAGTATCACGCGATCCGAGATCACAGACCCTGAAAATTAACAGCACGTTCCGCTCTAGCTTCCTGGCACTTGCCTAGGTGCGGTTGAGAGTCTCAAAAACTAACTGCCCGCAAACCCAACCATTGACGGATCTAGCGGTGTTTGAGATGTCCGGTCCAAGCAGCACTAAAGCACCATTGGTGGGACACATCGGTTGCAAAGCCAAGCACTGAGACCCGAGTCCAATGAACCTTTGAGCCGGACGTAAACTGAGCCGCATTGGTCCATGCGAACAGTCAACCCTCTAAACTTTCCAATCGGGAACCTGGTGGGAGACAGGCGCGTCTGAAGAGGCCGCAGTTGCCGTCGAAGCCTCAGTTGGCAGCAGATAAGAGCTTGAGATTTTGGAGTGTTCCACATGTTGGTCCCTTGTTGGAGATCTGTCAGACATGTACGGCACGTTCTGCGGAACCTTACCTCGGCTTAACACGACTCTCCCAAGTGCCGCATCGATGAAGGCAGTTCGCGTTTGAGATCTTCAAGCAAGAGTGCAAGGCGGAGGCCAAATTTGTGTACGAATGATTGCTTGCCAATTCTTGCGTGTGTGATCTTCTCCCAAAGCGGTTCAGAATCAAGAACAGTTGTAGCAATATTTAAAGCATGGTTGACACTAGTTAAGCGAGAGACACATGTTACTACTGATGACTGATAATGGAGACCGTGTTCAAAATGATTCGGTGATGGCATGATATTGGCAATAGTGTTACCCATGATAACACTGATACCACTGACAACAATGACAGTGATGACAAGAATCATATGAGTAATAGCAAATGTTAGTGTGACAGATACTAGTACGACGGGCGATATAGTCAACACGAATATTCTGGATATTGAGTATAATACTAGTGAGTGTAAGATTGAAGATGTTAATGACGACAATGATGGCCATCAGAACATCAATATGAATGATGATAATGACGATACTGTGAATGATACTGGTAATGATGTTCGTGAGTGTAACAACGATAATGACGATGATATTGGCCATTAGAACGATAATGACAATGATGACACGATAGTGGCAATAAATACAATGACGGCAATCATGACCAGGATAGCAAGTGTGATAATCATGGTGACAATGCTGATTATGATAATGATAAAGACAATGATTGTCGTGTTCAAACTTGTCATAGTCATAGTGACAATCATGTCATTAGTGACAAGGAAGATTGTGATGGCAATTCTGATGAGACTGGCAAGACTGATAATCATGGCAATGATGACAATAACGACAAAGAGCAGTACGTAAATGGGCTAGTGTTTGCTTCGGTGGCCTTTCGGGGAAATTTGAGAGATCAGATATGAGGGATCCGAAAATAAGGCCGTCAGTTGTCCTTCTAACAAGACCCTAAACCCTAAACCCTAAACCCTAAACCCTAAACCCTAAAGAATCCTGGCTTGGAGTCTAAGCAGGGGTTCCCTCAAATCTGAAACTCATGAACCCCTAAACCCCTGAACCCCTAAACCCTTAAACCCTAAACCGCTAAACCCCTAAACCCTAAACCCTTAAACCCCCGAGTAGGTTCGGGCCTGGGGCTGGGGTTTCAGGATTTAGGTCTCGTTTGTTCAGAACAATCCTTCGGGCCAGGGTTTTTTAGGATTTTCACCAGGTTTTTTTAATGTTTAGGGCTTCGAAGGTCCAGGTTTGTGGCTACGGTTATTTCAGGTTTTGAGGCTGAAGGTCTAAAAGGGTTTTATGAAGAACTTGTAAGGATATCAGCTAGTCTGCGCAACCTTTGGAAGCCTGCGCGTGTTCAAATTGCGGGATTCGGCGAGCCATATGGGATTTTACGGCAGGTTGGGTATCATCGGACTTCGGATTGCAAGTCTCGGAATTGGGGCTCCCCTGTACCAAGGCCAACTGCAACCCGACCCGAAATCCTAAGTCTAAGCCTACCTTAAGAACCCAAAACCCACTTTTTTGTAGGTTCTTATTATACACCCTAATATGGGATTTATAGGGACCCTACAAAAAGTAGGTTTGGGGTTCTTAAGGTATATTTTATAAACCCTAGACCCCACCCCAAAACCCTAAACCCTAAACGGTTTAGGGTTTAGGGTTTAGGGAAAACCAAGTCCCCAAACCCCAGCTTCCTGCCCGACAAGGATGACGATGACCAGTCGTCGCAGGCTGCCAAGAAGGACGTGGGCCGACGGTTGGGCATTGCGGCGTCGTGATTTAAAGGGTTTAGGGTTTAGGGTGTTGAAGGTGTTAGTCGTAGTCTTGTTTGAGAACTTGAAACTGCAATAGGGATGTGATCAGAAATAATGGTTTTAGTATAACTATCAGTGTCAGTGACAGAGACAGTATAAGTGTTAGCATTTGCTTTAGGGTTTGTGTTAGTATCAGTATTAGAATAAGCTCGCAATTGCATTGTGTAGTTTAGGTTGTGGCCACAGCTGTCGTTGTTGCCGCCGTCGTCGGAGCAATTTTTGCAGCATGCAGCCGTTGTCGTAGTCTGTACGGATCTTAAGCACTGAGCCCTGAACTCTAAAGTGGGGCTTGGTGCCTAGCGAGTTCTTAAACCACTCGCTTCCCAAAGCTCGAACAAACACATTGCCAGGAGCTGACCTTAGCGAGGCTGGTGGAGAAGTGGAAGGAGTTGAAGGAGGAGGCAGGCCCCTGCACAGGTAAGACTCTCGTTTCGTGTTTATAGAGCTTTTCTTTGGGTTCAAGGTTCGAGTTCCGTGTGGTGTTCTGGGTTGAGAGTTTGTGGATCTAGGCTCAGTGGTTCGGGGGTTGTGGGCACATCGGTTTGTGCTCAGTTATACCTGTATATGTATGAGCTGAGCAAGGGCATCCTCGGCATTGCACTCTGGCTATCTTTGGCGTTAGAGTTACAGATTCAGCTGGGAGCAGATAGCACTGGGTTTCAAGAAGCCGTGCAGCGGTTTCAAAAGGCTGCCCAGCGCTTTCATCCTGGAAGGAACTTCACCCCTTCAGTGGTTGCGGTTGTAGGTCGTCAACATTCATACTTGGAGGGTCATGGGACTTAGTAAGTAAGGTTATAAGTCCTTTCATTGGGGTTATAAGTATAGTTACCTTAGTTATAACCCTACTTACTAAGTGCCATGATCCTTTAGGTAAGGTCCCTAAATCGTTATTTGTCCGGCGACCCGGAATCCCGAATTCCTTACCACTGGACTCGGCCATGCAAGCCGGCGACTGCAAGGGTCTTAAGTGTCCATCCACTACCGGGTCTTCAAGGTCCCATGACACCTTTTTTGGTGGTTCCCATATTCTCTGCAGCGCTGGCATTGGAGGGGGGGGGGGGGGGGGGGGNNCGGGGGGGGGGTCCTGACCACATAGGTCTTTCTCGCAAGAACCTATTGTAGCTGATAGAAGCTCGTCCTACGGGGAATACACCTAAAACGCCAAGGTGCAGCCCCTGAGTAAGGGCTTCGAGTGCAAGGGACCCCAGATACATTAAGGTGTTGCAACACCCATGCTTCGATGGATCGGGATACTTTATAATTCATAATGTAGCCAAAACACTACTCGGCCAGCACATCTGCGAAAGGGGTGAACGGATGTGCTGGTTCTTGCGATTCAAGTCTTCAACCCAACCGAGGCCTTGACTTCACAGTCGAAGGTGTAATACAGAGGCCTAAATACTTACCAAGACTGTTGTGGGGTTCCCTATTACACTTACGTAATAATATACCTCCAAACCCGATTATTCTAAGTATTGCGGCCTCTACATTAGGGTTTACGGTTTACTTGAAACTACCATGACCCCGGCTTCTGCAGGCTCTTATTGGAAACCGGAATATAGAATTTATCCGAAAGCCTGACGTTCGAGGGCTTTAGCGCACAGTTTTCGGGTCAATGCGAGAGCCCTCAACCCTAACCCTAAAACCCTGAACCGCTAAACCCTAAACCCAGCTCTGGGAGTCTCTGGGAAGGAAATGCACCACTACATTCGCCTGGCCGATGAAGATCGCCAACGCTTCGAACGCGAGCTTCGGACTCGGCCTCCTCCAATGGGGAGTTTCCGAAAATAAGGGGTATCTTCTTTTGGGGCTCTTATCATATATCATAAGGATCCTACTATTTGGGGTACTATATTAGGGTCACCTATTTTCGGAAACCCCCAATTCTTAGAAAGGGTTGTAGGGTTTAGGGGTCAGGCGTTATAGGGTTTCGTGTTTAGGGTTTTATAGGGTTTGATAGGGTTTAGGGTTTAGGGGTCAGGCGTTTTAGGGTTTAGGGGTTCTGTTTTTGTTGTTTTGGGTTTAGGGTTTTTAGGGTTTCTGCTCCAGATTCCCAAGACCCTAGGCCCTAGACCATACTTCCAGACCAGTCCCCGTGCTCGCGGCTGGAGTTTTCGGATATTCGAGACTGAGGGGTCCCCAAAGGGGGCTTCGCCAGTCTTTCATGGATGTTGCATGTCTTTTCATCGAGTAGTATTCTTAGCAACAGCAGCCGCAGTCCCCCAAACCCGACACTAGCAATGCCTAGACCTTAGTAAGGCAGGTTAAACAGGCCATGTACAGGTAATCTTCAAGTACCAAAGCTCTCTACAGCCACAGTCTCTCTCAGATGACGTTACGAGGATTGCCCTGTGCAGGATTTCGCGACCTGTCATACTCATCCATGGAAGGCAGCAAGGGTCCCTTTGAAACGTCCCGGTTCATTAGGACCACCGCCTCCCAGTTTATCCAAACCGTGCAACGACGGGTGTACCAGCGATTTCAAGGCACCGATTTCGACCGCGGCCAGGATGCCGATCCCAAAGATTGGCCCGTAAGGTGGGATTCAGGATTCGGACGTCGAAGTCGATAGCGAAAAATTGATAGAACAGGGAGGTTCACTCTGGCGCCTGGACATAGTACGGGAGCCGATCATGCACAAGTACATAATCCTGTCCCAGAGCTCTCGAGCATTTCTGTGGTTGGCAAGCATCGGAGGCTTGTTTGGCACTCTTGGCGGCTGTTGGAACTTCGTCTTCGTCAAGAAAAATGCGGACCACGAGATTGCGAAGAGCTACGATGAGCGAACCAGCAGGTCCCTGTGCCTCCGACGGGCAAAGCCAGCAGAGCTCTCCGAGAAGCCGTGGGATGAGGGGCAGATTGGGATTTGAAGACCGAGTATCAGCTCGGTGGAGACCGGGGACCCAGCCTTGGGGAAGCCGGATTTGGGGTTTAGTGTTTAGGGTTTAGGGTTTAGGTTTAGGGTTTAGGGTTTAGGTTTAGGGTTTAGGGTTTAGGGTGATGTGAAAGTGCTGGTGGCAGATGAGGCGGACGCTTCATCGATCTATGACGAGCGTTCCTCGCGAGGTCTCAAATCTTCGGAGTAAGCAGCGGCTTTGAAGCACCCACTCCCCAGGGGATGTTGGATATTCATCTGGCTCCAAGCACCTACTGCTTATGCCACGCTATATGCTACAACGAATCAGGGGTCCTTGCCTACTTCTTCGACGGATGGTTTAGGGTCTGCCCGTGGAGCCACTTTTAAGGGATGTTGGGCACAGATCCCAAAAGGTGTTTTTAAAGCGTATTTCTTGCCTGTCACATGGTCTTTGACTTGCGCCCGTGGCGACTCACAAGTGCCTAGAGCTGAGAGGCAAAACGTATAGACTGACATATCCACCCTGGAAGCGCCAGAAGCTGTCAGGGATGAGGCTTCCGCCACTGGCAGACACTGGCAGCTGCGATGATCGAAAGCATGCGAGATAGCTCTTAGATCTTGCCCTGCCCTTCTCGCCAAGTGTAGCTCCGAAAATGCTCCGCTACCAGGTGCTTGCAAACACTTCTTGAAGTACCGCACCTGTCAACATCCGACAAACCCTATACCCTGAACCGTAAACTGAACCCTTAACTTCAGGTATGAGGAGTGGAGGACTCAACGGGCAACAGCCGGAAAGAAAGAGGAGTCGCTCCAGGAGCGATCTTGCCTTTTTGGTGGGGTCGGGGGGATGTAGGGTTTAGGGTTTAGGGTGGGGGTGAGGCGAGGTAGATAGGGGTTTAGGTTTAGGGTTTTGGGGTTTTGGGGTACAGGGCCATGGTATGATCCTTTAAAGGGTCCGGGCTGAGGGGGAGTATGCGTTGCTTTGTGTAGTGTTTCAATCGGGCTACAACGAGGTTTTGTCCCCGCGGGATACCCGAAGACCGTATCTAGCGGACTCTAACCGTGTCCCATGATTCTCTTCACAAGCATAACCACACCCTGTACAAGCCGTATTCCAGTACAGGAAGAACATGATCCCCAAACACTACATGGGCTCCGTCCGAGCTTTCAGGTCAGAAGCCTTAGCAACCCTAAACCCTATAACCCTAAACCCTATAGCAGAAGTCTCGTACACAAATCTCCTCGGGCAGGGTCTAGAATCTCTTGGTTGCCAGTGTCAGGGTCCTTAGGGAACTTCCCAAACCTCGAATCCTGGACCCTTAATGCGCTCAACATTAATGCGTTTAGTGTTTACTTCCAGCCCCAAATAGTAGGCTACGCCCCTTCATTCATAAGTTTAACCCCAAAACAGTAGGCTCTTGGAGCCGCAGGTAGGGCTTGGGTTTGAAATTCAACACGTTACTTTAGGGTTTAGGGTTTTGGGCTTAGGGTTTAGTTTAGGGTTTAGCCATGACTCCAGGTGCTGCTGGACAAGCGGCGTGCCACTCTGGAGAATACGCTCGCGAGACCTCAGGGGGGCAGGGCAGAGTCAGGTTCAGCTTCGTTCCCGGACCGAGACGGCTAAGCCTACCTAACTCTCAACCTTGCTAGAGCCTTAACCTAGTGGTAGAGTAGGTAACCTTTAGCTTGTTTGGGGTACCATAATCTCTAGACAGTCCCAAAGCTAAACCTTTAGTTCCCCAGGATACTCGACAAGCAAATTCGAGTCTACCATATTCACCTCGCAATCGTCTACTCGAAAGTCTACACTGGGAGACTTGGGATGCGAAGACAGGTTTGGCTATAGAGGTTTGGGATGTAGGCTTTTTCGGAATCGACGGATCTTTGCGGTTTAGGGGTGAGTAGGTTGTGGGAGCGTGGGCTACGAGGACTTTCTGTGGTGCTGTGGAAGTCTACAGTTACTGGCTGTCATGGTTTAGGGTTCAGGATTTAGGGTTTGGATTTTCGGGTTTAGGGTTTAGGAGTTTAGGAGTTTAGGGGTTTAGGGGTTTAGGGTTTAGGGTTTAGGGGTTTAGGGCTTAGGGTCAAGTCCAAGCTTCGGTACTACCCATCTCTGTTATAGTACGGCTTCACTGCACCTTCCGAAGCTATTTCGTAGGCGGTCCAGCCATGCACTTCAAGTGTATGAGACGGGGTGATAGAAGGACTGGCAAGGTGCTAACATCTCACTCCCCCACATCCAAACCCCACAAGCCCACAACCCAACACCCCTAATTATCCCTGACGCCGTGTCGCCCAGACAAACCTTGATAAGCCTGCCCAAATCGCAGGATTCGCAGGAGTGGCAACGACAAGTACCGAAAGCAAGCCGAAACGCCAAAGAAGGCCGGCTCACTTCAATGCCGGGCTGGGTTTTCGGTGTTTTGAGACGTAGAGGTTTTTGGGCGGTAAGGCCTACGGGCCGGAGCTATGAAAAGCAATGCTACACTGACCCTGCGACATGGGTCCTTGATCTTCGTTGAAGCCCTTGGTGCTCACATGTCCGAACCTGTTGGACTTCTATACGCATCTGCATACTCAATGAGAAAAAGAAAACATGAGTGGTAATAGTAACAATGAGACTAATCGTAATAGTTTTCGCTTGAAGCCTAAACCCTGACCTTTGACATAGTCATACCGTGTTCTGAAACCCTAGTCTAATTCTAAAGGTGTTTAGGGTTTAGGATTTAGGGTTTGGGAGCCTGCAATCCAGGCAGGTACCGAAGCCTCCTCCTGGCTTCCCCAAGCAGCGGCAACCTCGTTTCGACTGCTTCAACTGGAAGACTGAAAGTTGGTTTAAAGTTTAGGGTTTAGGGTTTAATGTAGTACCTTTTTTGGTTTCCGCAGCTTCTTAAAATTTGTCCTAACCATAAAATCAGTCATCCCAGAAAAGGTACTACATTCAGGGTCTAGGTAGATTCGGATGTATTTGTGAAGGTTTCCCGGAGTAAGGAAGGCGGATCTAATGTAGAAGCCTGAATAATTACCTATACTATTTTGGGGGTTCCTTATGATTGTTTTAGTACACAGGGCCCCAAAACCCTATTCTAATACTTTTTGGGGGGTTCCTTATTCTAATTTTAGTACTAAGGGCCCCAAAACCCTATTCTAATGATTAAGGCCCCTAAACCCTCAACCCCCCCTGTAGGATCTCCCTTGTAGAACCCTCTAAGAATCTAACCCCGACCCTAAACCCCGACCCTAATGATTAAGGCCCCTGCATTGGGTCTTTTCAACTACAAGTAGAGTTGGGCCAGCACCTATATCATTATGATAGTTTTAGTACGAAGGGGCCCAACCCTAAACCCTAAACCCTAAACCCGAAACCCTATACTAATTATTAAGGCCCCTACATTAGGAACCTGGGATTCGTCGGGCTCGAGAGGTCCAGGGTTTCGAACTCCCAAACCGTTGGGTTTACGATGGGATCCTTCATGGGGTTTAGCGCTCAGGGGTTTAGGGTTTAGGGGTTTAGTGTTTAACATCAGGGTTTAGGGTTTAGGGGTTCGCGGTTTAAAATTAGGGTTTAGGGTTTAGAGCATTGTAGCGTCTGGACACAGGCCTTGTCATGCAGTTCGAAAGGACCAGTACGGGTTGTCACGCCCAAGGGCCATAGCTATCATGGCCTGCCTTTCTCCGCAGAGACGGCACGTTATTGGGGTTACTTCGTGGTGCCGGCTAGTGAACTTTCATCAATCATGATAAGTAGTATGCACGGGCCTGTTGAAGGATTGCCTTAGTCTCAAATACCCACTATCTTGGACCATAGGCACTCTATCAATGCACCTTGGGGAGTCGCTGAGACTTGAAGCACCATAACACAGGGTAATGGGGGCCCCGAATGATTGATAACAGCAGTCCCTCATGACATGACCCTAGTAACTATGGTAACTTGATATGACAAGCCCGCACACATATGGGCAGTTGTCTAAATGAGGGTCCCTTTAAGGGTCCTTTTTATAAGAGTGCCGTACTATTTATTTTGAGGACCTGCAACGGGACCCCAGTAGTTTAGGGAACTACCCATATAGTCCATGTTTTTTGGCCTAATATAGGGGCCTAAATAATTACCAATATCATTTTTGGGGTTCCTTGCTATAAATATAGTATAATGGGCCCAAAAACCCTATTCTAATTATTCAGACCCGTATATTATACCCTAAACCCTAAACCCTAAACCCTAAACCCTAAATATACACTGAGGCCGGTGAGATCGGGTTATGCGCTCTTCTGTTCCGAGCAGAAGGCCCGGAGAGTGAAAATGCAACCCCATGCATAGGATGCAGGGTTTTAGGGTTTTAGGGTTTAGGGTTTAGGGTTTAGGGTTTAGGGGTTAGGGTTTAGGGTTTTAGGGTTTAGGGTTTTAGGGTTTAGGGTTTAGGGTGCATAGGATTCAGGGTTTTAGGGTTTTAGGGTTTAGGGTTTAGGGTTTAGGGTTTTAGGGTAGGGGTCCTTAGAGGGTTCTAGAAGCGAGATACTACAAGGGTTTAGGGTTCAGGGGCCTTAATAGTTAGAATAAGATTTTGGGGCCCATAAGGCTATACCTATAATAAAGAACCCCCAAAATAGCATTGGTAATTATTTAGGCCCCTACATTAGGATTCAGGGCTTAGGGTTTAGGGCTCACACTACCTTGACACCCTTGCGGGTTTAGGAATTTGGTCCAGGGTTTGGGGTTTAGGGGCGACTGAATACCCATGGCATCTGCAACTCTAGCTCTAAGCCGCTGAACTCGCAAGCTTGCACCCCAGACCCCCAAACCCGAATCTTGACACCTAAACCACCCAGCCCAGAAGCTTTTCGGGTTTAGGGTTTAGGGTTCATGGTGTTGCGCCTATGTTATGTTTCCGCTTAGGCCTAGCCTAAGCTTTAGGCTTTAAGGTTGCGGGCCGCATGGTAGCCGGCACACGAAAGAGCGACCTAAAATAAGCGGCCCTAATAATTACCTATACTGTTGCGGGGGGTTTCCTTATTATAGTAAGATTATAAAGGATCCCCAAAATCCTGTTCCAATTACTAAGGCCCCCTACATTATGCTCTCCTGCGCGAAGCCATGAATCCAAAAAGGAAACCGCCTTTGGGAGCCTGGGTGTTATTGGTTTAGGGTGCAGGGTTTAGGGTTTAGGGTTTAGGGTTTAGGGTTTAGGGTTTAGGGCATTCCCCTACAGATTACCTAAACCCCGGAACCCTGAACCCCAAAAACAACCCGAATGCTAGTCCAATAACTCCCGAAGCCCTGGACCCTAAACTTCAAGTCCTCCATGTCTATTAGCATGGTCGAAGTTGTCGGGTCCATAAGAACTTAGCCACCAGAAACCCTCAAAACTGACCGCCGAAATGCCCTAAACCCTAAACCCTAAACCCTAAACCCTAAACCCTGAACAGCAGGCGGGCGTTGCGGCAAGGATGTCCCAGTCAACGGAAGAGGCGGCTGCCGTGGAAGGCCGACTCTGGGAGTTCTCGTAAGTTTCAGGCTCTGCTTTTGCGCTAATATCGGGGCCTTAAGAGTAAGAATAGTTTTCGGTTTAGGGTTTAGGGGT